CGTGGTGACCCCAGCCCCCCCCCACTCTATTCCCCCTCCCCTGGGGGTTGGGCAGGATCAGCAAAGTCTGGCCAGGTCTCTGAGTAGGGGAGCCCCAGCCACCAGCGCGGTGACACCTGCACCCAGCTCCAGCCATAGTCACGCCATCACACCATTACCATCACCTGGCCCCCTCCCACCTCCCCCTGCTACTTCAGAGCCTGTCATACTGGAGAGGAATCAGCTGCCCTCCGGCCCCTTGAGCATTTCTTCTGCATTGGACACCCCACTTCTTCCTCATGCTCAGGCCCCTAATTCTGCTTGCATTTCACTTGATGCTGTGGAAGGCTCCAGACTGCTGTTTCCTCAGGACCTCTGGCTGTTTGCACTGCCCTAAGCACATGTGCCATCTCTGAAACTCGTCCTGAGTGACCATGAGCTTTGTCCACGGTCAGGCCCAGGCCCTTGGGGCAGCCCCCCGGGTCCCAGAGAACTGGCCCAGCTGCCCCCAGCTAACCCCTTGCAGGGTCTGCAGCTTCAGCCCATTTCAAATGACTGGTTTCTGTTTTCCCTTCTTTCCTCGACCTTTCAGGACCCCTGCTCTCCCGGCCCATCATCCCTCCTGATGGGTGCCCTCCTGATGGGTGCTGGCTGGGCTCCGGGGCTGTTTTCAGGGCCAGCCTCCTGGGCAGCTGAGCCTGTGGAGAAGCCCTGTGCCCACAGTTTGCTCACGAATTCCGAGTGTTCACCTACTAGGGCAGGCCTGTGAGGCCACATGTGGGACGTCGGTGGTGGTTGTCTCCACAGACTCCTGCAAGGTGGCTCGGGTGGCAGTGAGCCCAGCTGCCTTCTCTGGCCTGTTGGCCAGTGCCCAGCAGTTCCGGGAGCAGACCCAGGCTGAGGTGTGCAGCGAGGACACAGCCTGGAAGCAAGGCTGGGTGAGGCACCGGCCCAGGCCCAGCTGGTAGGGCTGCTACCACCCTACCAGGGGCCTGGGACCCTGGCCCGGCCTCAGTGAGGCGTGTGTGGGGAGCTCGGTAGGGACCCCCTAGCAGGTAAGGGGCACTGGCCCTCAAGACCCCAGGCATTGTGGGACACCCAGATTGGCCCCGTGCTGGACGGGGTCAACTTTTTTTTGACTCCCTGAGTCCAGTCTGACGCAGATGCCTCTGTGACGTGAGCAGAGGATCTCCATGGGGCTGGGGGTACCAGGGGGCTCTCAGAGGGGTGGGAGGTGAAATCGACCAGCAGGGAGCACGGTCTGCAAGGGCCTGAGGACCCTGGTGCCCAAGGCAGGCGGGTGGGTGCAAGGAGCTTCCTGTGCTGCCGAGCTGGGCCCAGGCCATCAGGCTGTTTCCGGGAGTCTCCTTTCCATGTGGGGTCCCCGCAGCGGGGTTGTGCCCCTCTGCTCTAACCAGGTGCATCCCATGAAGCCCCCTGACACCTTCTGATCATGGGCTGTCTGGCTTGGACAGGGATCAGAAGGCGTGCACCCTGAAAGGCAGAGGCAGACTCTCCAGAAACTCAGCGACGTCCTGGAGGCCACGGAGGAGTACCTGAGCCCGCTGCTCACGCTGCTCCGCTGCCCTGAGGCCAGGTCCCTTTCTCCAGTTTGAAGGCCAACACTCTGCTGGGCGGTGGGGGGGAGCCTCATCCGGGAACTCCAACCTCCCCTCAGGACCCCATGTCCTTCACGAGGGTCTCAGCATGTGAAGATGCCCCTTTACCTCCAGGATGCCGGGCTCTGTCCTGTGTGCCATCGGGAAGACGTCCTGGTCCTGCCTAAAGTCTTTCTAAACCCTGCCCCTCATGTCATGTCTGGTGGGGTGTGGGCGGGGACGGCAGGGCGAGGGGCTGGTGCTTTGATGTATTCCTGGCAGGAAAGCAGGCAGAGGGTTGGGCCTGGGACCTCCTGGGCTGGCCAGTCGGTCAGCGAGGGTCCTGAGCCCCGTTTGCTTGCGCCTGTGCAGCGCCCCATGCGTGAGGCCGGTCTCCCAAAGAGAGCCACGGAGAGTGTCTGTGGCACTCGCAGCGTTAATGAGAGACGATCCAAAGCGATGCGCTTGACATTTTTAACACCTGAACGGGTGCCTTTGCCTTTCAGAATACAGATTCCCTCGATCATCGGGGATTTGGGGAAACAAAAGGGCAAAGACAAGGAGCGGAAGCTGTCCATGCCCCAGGGTGAGTGGCAGTGACAGGAGGCACCAGGGGTGAGTCATTTGACCTCAGGACCCTCCCTCGGTTGTTGGTGAATAGAGGCTGGGCTGGGACTCGCCCCCACCTGGGAGAGCCCAGGAGGTTGGCAGCTGCCCAGCTGCCCTGCTGGGCCTCCCTCCGAGGGTGTCCCAGGGCGCTGAGCCCCACAGGTGCTGGGGGTCTCAGAGGCTGTGTGTCCACCAGATGTTGTTATAACCTGACCACTGAGGTCGGCTCCAGGGCAGCCGGTGCCTCGTGGCCACGTGCACCCTGCGGGCAGAGCCCTTGCTGTCACAGCTGGGAAGGCTCCCTGGTTGGAAGGAGCCACCTCATTCTGGGACCTGACTCAGGGAGTGGCCACCCACGCTGGGGCATGTCGTCAGCCACGGAGGACCCGACATCCCTGTGACCCTGCCCGGCTGTACCATCAAAACCAGTGTCTCTCCCAAAGAGAGCCTGGCATGTCCTGGGGCCCCCTCTCTCTGCAAGGGGGACCGCCATGGTCAGCCGGTGGCCTCAGCGGTGACGTGATGCAGGGTTGGTCATGTATCACGAGCGCTCATGCCTGCTGCCCGCGGCAGGCCTTCTGTCCACAGTGGAGCTTGAGGTTGCTGACAGCGTGGTCCTCATCGTGGACAGGCACCTCCTGGAGCTACCCCTGGAAGGCCTGTCTGTGCTCAGGGAAGGGACGGTGTCCTCTGTGTCGCGGGACTTCTCCCTCCAGATGCTGTGCAATCGTCTCCACCAGGAGGAGGCAGGTGAGGGTCGCCCTGGGCCAACTGGTAGTTCATTCCCAAATGGAACTATTTACTTTTATTATATGCTATCATTAATGTCTGTCAAAAAGTGATTATCAGAGCCTGGCCTGTGTTGCTCAGTGGTTGAGCATTGATCTGTGAACCAGGAGGTCACTGTTGGATTCCCGGTCAGGGCACATGCCTGGGTTGTGGGCTCGATCCCCGGTCGGGGGCGTGCAGGAGGCAGCCGATCAGTGACTCTCATCATTGATNGCCGGTCGGTGGCGTGCAGGAGGCAGCCGATCAGTGACTCTCATCATTGATGTTTCTGTCTCTTACCCTCTCCCTTCCTCTCTCTGAAATCAATAAAAAAAAATTAAAAAATAATGATCAGAAAGAGACTGATAGGGCACTTCCTGTGTGCCCAGTGTTCTGTCAGGATTGTTCTTGGCCTCACAAACTTGTGTCTCGGCGGCAGGGATGGGAGCGAGGCTTTGCTGCGGGTGCTGGGCGTGCAGACGGGCGGTGCGTGGGAAACCTCCATGCTGGGCGCGTGCGGATTTCCGCATGAACACTGCACTTCAGTGGGCATCAAATCCAATTAAAATAAGTGGGTTGGACTTTTGCTGCCATCCAAGATGAAATCACAAGGACCGAATCTGCCCTTCCGACACAAGGAAAAACTCAGACGAGATACATGAAACAATAGTTTTCAGACATTGGAGATCAGGCAGTGGGGACCGTGATCCCCAAAGGAAGGGGCCAGACAGAGCCTTGCCGTGCCCCCCGGCTGGAGGTCTGGGGACCCCCAGCGACAAGAGCAGTACAGGTGTGAAGAAACCGCCATGGCCAGGGCCAGAGCTGCCTGTGGCAGCAGACACGGTCCTGAGGGCTCAGCCAGGGCTGGTAGGGTCCCAGGTGCCCGCCAGCCAGAGGGGAGAATCATATCCCCAGGGCTTAGGTCTGACCACCAGAGGGTGTTGCCCTGCCCTGGAGAGACCAGCTGTAGAGGCCCCACCTGCTCCCAGGTGACAACTGCGTCCCAGAGAGAGCTCATGAGGACGTGTGGAAATCACAGTCTCAGCGCCCAACAAGGTGACATTCAAGAAGTAGGGGACTGACCCCCCGGAGAGAAGGGCAGCCGGCAGAGCAGAACTGGACTGGCCGGGTGACAGCTCCCCCGGAAAAGCCCCGGGCGGGATCTGGGGTAAAGTGGCCAGTTTCCCACGTTCGATGAAACGGACTCCACAGACCCAAGAGGCTCAATGAACCCAACACAAGGGGCGGAGACTGACCCAGGAGCAGCGCAGCGGAGGGAGGGCCCGTCGGCCATCGCGGGGTGAGCGGCGGTGGTTAAAAAGGGAAAGACAATTGTCGTCGAGAACTCAGGCGGGAGCGACAGCCCTTGGCAGAAACAACGCAGTGACCAAGGTCCTTATTAAAGAACAGGCCCGTCGGCCTAGACATTTTGTGAAGTGAGTTTCACGGGGGAGCTAAAGGCCTGCTCAGGCCCCGAGCAGCCGAGGGTGTTGCCCCCGGGGCCCGACCGGCACGGAAACGCCGGCAGGGCATGTCTTCGGGCGGGAAAGACGGGGTGCAGGCAGGCGCTGAGGCTGCTGCTCTTGACGTCCCGTCCCCTGGGCGCCTGGCAGCCACGCGCAGAAAACAGTCACAGTGTGCTGCGGGGCGTGTAACACCGGGACCGGGGCCGTCGGGCAGCGCTGGATCGGGCCCAGGGACGAGGTCGTCAGGTTCTGCGTGACCGAGTGCACGGCACGCACCCCAGGGTGGGGACTCGGCCGCCCCTGAGCAGTCACAGCGCACACACTGGGGAGGGGGGTGAGTCGTAGAAAGTGCTCAGTCCAACAGAGGCAGGAAAAGAGGGAAATGGAGCCAGGATGGGCCGGGATGGACAGCAAACAGCACGTGTCCTGTAACCGAACCGTGTGACAGCCCAGTACAGGCGAGACCCAATGCGTGGATCACATGCAAGACCCAAGATGGTGCCTCGACGAAACTCGTGTAAATCAAAGAGGAATCAAGGATGGAGCCAGTAAACACCCACAGGTGACCCCGCGGTGCTGCCTCCGGGCGCAAGTCCCCAGTGAAGGGAGCCCCTCGTCACCCTAGAAGGACCTTTCAGATTAAATGTTCGCGTTGAAAAAGGGTGGGAATGACGCTGACGAGGAAGCATCTAATTTAAGAAGTTAGAGCAAGAACGCAGAAAATTCAAAGAAAGCAGAGGCCGGGCTGCAGTAAGTGCGTGAGCCACCGACGGGAGAGAAAGTGGAGGTGAGACTGGTCGTTTGAAAAAAAGTCAGGACAAGGCAGGGGACCCACGTCAGCGCCTCCGACGCCGGCAGACAGCACAGACGGGGCCGGAAGGGGGAACCCAGCGGGACTGCAGCCGGGAGTGGCAGCCGGGGGCCAGCGGCCGCCACCGAAGCCTGCGCACGGCGGGTGCTCAGCATGGAGAGTGAATGGCCAGTGGGTGGCCCTGGCCCAGGCCTTGCCTCGCCCTGCGAGCCTTTAATTTTGAGATGTTACAGTCATTTCAGCTTTAGAAAACTTACAATAAACACTCTCCCTACTTCTTGCTTTTTCATTGAGGCGAAGCCCACCCAACACTGGACTAACCATTTCAAAGTGAACGGAGAGGCGTTTGTGCGCCAGGGTCGTGCGCCGGCCTTCGTCTCACTCCTCGGCATCACCACTTCCTTTGGTTGTCCCCAACAGAAGGCACCGCGAGGAAGGACGCCAGAAACAAAGAGCTCAAGAAGAGAGGCCCAGCAAAGAGGGGCAGGAAGGTAGGTGGCAAGGCCCCGCGGGCTGGGGGCTGAGGGCCGGGGGGAGCGCCGGAGTGAAGCCCCATGACCCCCGTCTGCCGTCACAGGGCAGCGCGCCCCGGGTCATCCCCCCTGACAGCATCCTCATCAACTCGGATAACTTCAAGTGTATCCTTTGCTGGGCCCCACTGCCCGAGACACGAGCCCGTGGGCCTGGTTTTCCTTGACCAGAGCCCAGTCGTCGTGGACCCCTTCGAGGAGGCCCAGGGCCCAGGTAGCGCTCCCACGCCCCTCCGAGCAGGCCACCCCACCACGGCCTCGGGTGTGGCCTGGACTCCGGGGGACAGCGTGCTGGGTGTTTGGCCGCCGCCTCTGCCCCGCATCCAGTTAGGGGGTGGGGGGCTTGGGGTGCCCTGGCCTTGGAGATGACTCCTCAGGGCCTCCACAGGCAGGAGTGCCACCCGGACTCTCACTGTTTAGTTCCCGGGGGCCCTTCTTTTGCGAAACTGGTTTTGTGAGTTTCTCCGGGAGGGAGGGAAGGAGACCAGCGGTTCCACCTGCAGTGAGCGAGGGGCCACCACGCCCTGCGCCCTGAGGCCGAGCCCGGGCGCCGCCCCCGCAGCCCCGTGTGCTCCACGCCTGTGACAAGGCTCCTATGTTTTGCCACCATTCCATTCTCGTTGCAGAAACGCTGACTCCTGTCTCTGTAACCCGGGAAATTTTGGATAAATTCAAAGACACATTCACTGCGCGATGGGCGGGACATCTGGGGAAAAAGCCCTTTCCAAGGTTTGGTCAGGGCCCCCAGGACGCCGTCCTGTGGGGGGGTCACCTGCACCAAGGTGGCTGCTCTGGGGCTGCTGTCCTCAGTCTCCACCTGGGCCCCTTCCCCTCCCTGTCCCTGCGTCTCTCCCTCTGGCCCCCTCTTGCCTGAACCCCCATTCTGTCCTGTGACCCCCTGACTTCTCTTCATCACGCAATGGGCTCCTTGGCCTCTGTGGTGCCGGGATCAGGGTGTCATTGTCCTCATCGCATTTTGCAGCTGAGGACCTGGCACCCAGGGGTGCCCCTGCGCAGGGTCCTTCGGCCAGTCCAGTGGGGCGTGTCCTGCAGGTGCCCTTGGGGACCGGGCGTGCTTGGGGTCAGGGAAGTGTCCCTCTAGTACTTTCCAGAGCCATGCCCAGTGAGATGGGGTCCCTTCCAGGGACACGGGGTCCATCTGTCTCAGGAGAGCCGCTGTCCTGGGACCCTGGAGTCAGACACAGGAGAGGCCATGCGGAAAGGGGGAGTGGACGGGGCTCCGTCCATCTCAGCAACAGAGTGGGGATGGAGGGGAGACCGAGTAGGATGTCTTTGCTTTAAAAACACATCTGGGGAGTGTGTCACGGGAGCTTCAGGACAGACTTGGACCTCCGCCTGTGCAGGGACACCTGCCTGTCCCTGCCTGGCCGCCCTGCCCACTGAGCCCCCTCCCTGTGCAGCCAGGCCGAGTGGGAGCAGCTCCTGGGCAGCTGTGAAGGCTTCTTCTTCTACGGGATGGAGAATTTCCTGTTGCATGTGTCAGTGGAGAGGTTGGCTGCCATGAACTTGGAAGGTGAGCGGGTCCTCTAAGTGCCCCCTCACCCCAGAGCCTGGCTCTCCAACAGGACCGTGGGCACCAGGTGAACACGCACAGGACAGAGCAGGTCCTTCATCAGGAACCAAGGTCCGATAAGGGCCCAGCAGGGCCTTGGGCAGCCCCTTGGTCCCCTGTTCATCTGTCAGATGCCCCGATTCAGGTTCCCATACCTGGCAGACCAGCCAGGGGCCGAAGTTGCGGTTATCCCCCAGCTTAGGCCTGTGGAGTCCAGGGAGTCTGGGGGTGTTTCTGCAGTGTGCTGGTCACCACTCCTCCCCACCAGTACCTCTGTCTGAACTTCTGGCGATAGAGGAGGCTGCCAGGGTCCCCCACCCCCAGGATACTGTGTAGGTGGCTGGAGGCATTTTTAGGGACCCCCTCAAGGATGCCCCTCCCCTTTGAGGTGCATGTCCCCATTGATGGCAGCATGTGGATGCTTGTCCTATGGTCAGGGCACCTGAACCCACCCTGTCACCTGCTGCCCAGTCTCCTTTCCAGGCCCCCCCCCCATTGTAGGGCCAAGCAGGGCAGGACCCCACCCCACTCTGTAAGCATGTCCCATGGGAGGTAGAAATAGGGCCTCTTTGAAGCTAATTCCGACCTTCAATAGGATGGCCCGTGAAGCCCAAGAACTGTGAAGGTCACAGGTGCCTGCGGGGCCACAGTGTCACCAGGCCCGCTGCTCCCCCAAGGCCTGTGTGTAAACAGATGGAAGTTCTGCGTGCCCCTGGGGGTGCCTGAAGCCCAGCCCAGCCAGGCCGCTGTGGGAGTGGGGGGTGGGCCTCTGCATTTGTGGGGCTGCTGCATGTCCACGCCCCGGGTGCATCTTGGACACTGGCCCTGTTTCAGAGGGCACTGGGGGCCAGGGTGACCAACTCGTCGCCCTGTGCCTGGTCGGTGTGGCACACTGGGAGCCAAGACTCCCTCGCAGGGCGGGGAATGCGGGGCCCCCAGTGCACAAGGAGGCTCTGAAGGGTGTGGGCTCCTGTGGCAAATAACGTCCCTGAGTGCCTGTGCGGCCAGTGGATCCCCACAAAGGGCCTGTGGTTCAAACCCAAGCCCTGGGCAGATTGGGCTGTGTGTCTGTGGTCCACTGCACCCAGGAGATGCCAGCCTGCAGGAATGACGCCCCCCCACCCCCCGTGTCCTACAGACTGCCAGCTGATGGTCCTGCTGGACCTGAGCCGGTCCTACGAGAGCATTCGACGGATGATGGAGTCCTTGGAGCACAAGAGGTGCCTGGTGTCCCCCTGCACTGCGCGACCAGCAGCCTGGCTTGTGGATGGCTGATGGGGGGATCCGGGGAGCATAAGAGTGATGAATGTGTCCTCTGGGGAGTGTGGGGGGACAGAGTGTCCCTGCATGCTGTGGGCAGAGCCCCAAAAGAGAGCCAAGCCTCCATGACCGGTTCTCAAACCCTCCCTGCAAAGTCTCTGGGGGTTCCAGCAGCTGACCACAGGCCCACTGGGGCCTCAAGGTCACTAGGACTGGGCCAGGAAACAGAGGACCGGCAGCTGGGAGGGTTCCCCACAGCACGAGTACCCCAGGGCCCCCAGACTGGCCCGGAGGCTGAGGAGGGCTCCTCCCTCTCACAGTGGGTGCAGTGCAGAGGGATCTGAATGCCTTTTCTTGTGACGTGGCATTTAAGTTTGGGGGTGGGAAGTTTTAAGGGCTGTCATTCCAAAAGCGTTCCAGCCCTTGGTGCTGTTTGGGTTGAGAACAGGGAGGGCTCTGTCCCACGGGAGCTCGGTTCCCTGCAGCGCCCCCCAGCTGTCCTTGGAGGAGCCCATTGAGACAGCCATCCTGCTGAGTCTGGTGGGGGTCAAGAGCATCGTGGCGAACCAGTGGCCGACACTCCTGCAGGACAACGCTGCGCGGGCCAGCATCCTGTGGGAAAGTGAGTGGCGCCCCGGCCTGTCCCACACCCTTGGGCCTCCATGGAAGCCCACGGTGGGGGGAGGGTTCCACTTCCTCTGAGGCAGAGTCTCTTCCCCAGGTCTGCTGCCATTTGGCAAGACAACCGGGAGAGCGGTCCGTCTCTTTCAGAAGATGGAGGCTGGTGAAATGGTAAACCACGGTAACTAGAGACTGTCCAGCTCGCTGCCCATCCCTTCAGGCCATGCGACTGCCACCCTGTGCCCACCATCCTGCGATCCTGCGAGGCCAGAGTGTCCCCACCTCCACTCCTGCACAGTCTCTGCAGGTCACTTGTCCCTGCAGTCAGTGGTGGCAGGAGGAGGCCCTGAGCTCGTAGAACCCTCTGGCCTCAGTGTTCCCCCTCGGCGTCCTGGTGTGTGAAGGACACACAGCAGCATCCATGCCCGGGGACTGTGTCTGGAGGCAGAGCCAGGAGCACCCACCTCCCTGTCCACCCAGGCCCGTGGCCCTTGGCTGGGGCCCTGGACTTCCTGCTCCCGGTGAGCCTCCCGTCCCCCTCTCCCCTCAGATGAGTCTCCGTGGACCCCCAAGAACAAGCTGATGTTCCGACCACAGCAGCGTGGCTCTGAGTGGCTCTCCATCAGCCTCAACCTGGTCCTGTATGGGCTGCCGAACCAGACCATCGTGTGACCCTCCCGTCCCACCTGCTGCACCCGGCCCCAGACGCTCCTCCAGTGACCCCCTGCTGGGCGGTGTCTCCCCTCATCTGCCCAGGGTGCCACCTGCCTCCTCTGTCATCAGCCAGGGCCCTCCCAGGGGTCTGCCTGCTCTGTGGCACCTCTGCACGAGGGACCTGCGTGGGCTGAGGGGCTTGGCAGGCGGGTGCGGTGAGGGCTGCACCGGGGGCCGACCCACGCTGCCTGGGCCCCTGAACCCTCCCTGCCTTGTCAGGGGGCGTGCCTGTCCCCGGGGGCTGGGATGAGGGGTGCTCTCCACCTCCCAGGGGCCTTCAGCAGCAGGTGTGCCCTGGAAGGCAGTTTCTGGCTGATGTCCCTGGGGCAAGGCTTAGGGTCCCAAGAGGGGGGCATGCCCAGTTCCTAGACAGGGAACACTGTTGGGCTTTTTGTTTCCATGTAAGAGCTTCAGTAAAGGACTGATCCAGCCTCTGCGAGTGGTTTCTGTGGCCGAGACGCTGGGTGGTGGCGGGTCTGGCCCCAGCCTCACAGGCCTGGGGGTCACCAGCACCTTCTCCCACCTCAGAACTCAAAGGGAGGACCTGGCTGGTGAAGTGAGGCCCCAGCCCCCCCCCCGAGCTTCCCACCGGCTGGTCTCCCACCCAGGCAGAGGAAGTCCTGTCCCTCCCACGTGGTGCAAATACGGCTGCTTCTGTTGGTCATGTGAGGCGTTGTAGCCTTGGTCCCTGAGGGGCTGCGTGGTCCTGCCCCAGCCAGGACTCTCCCCAGCTGCAGCTTTCCTGCCACCACGGGATCAAGGTGTGTGAAGCCAAGTGGGACAGAGCCACCAGGTGTGACATGAGCAGAGTAGCCTCTCTGCACCGCAGGTGACGTGACACCCGCTCTGTGGCTCCGTCCATGTGTCAGGGAGAGGCCATGGGGGAGATGATGACATAAAGGAAGGCCAGGCCGGTGCCCACCCCTCCTGCCCCTTGCTGTCTCCCTGACCTTGACATGTGTGTCCCACGCTGGGGACCTGACATCCATGGGCCAGCGGGATGGGATGGGGTTGCCCACTCTCTCCAAACGCCTCTTGGCTGAATGGCCGGTGCTGGACTTACCAGCCCTTCGTCCCCAGCCCCGTGGCAGGTCCTGGGTGCTGGAGGGAGCTGTGCAGGGGGAGGCGGGGCGGGTGTGCAGGCTGGGCCAGGCCAGGGAGAGCCAGCAAGCAGGAGGGGGGCCGGGGCCTCATCTCCGCTGAGTAAGGGACTGAAAATGATGAACATGCAGTGTTGACAGCACCGGGGATCCTCGGGGAGGCCGTCTGTCCTGCTCGCCACTGCTGCTGCATTCTTCACGGTGTGGTCATCTCCAAAGACTGAATGGCCAGCCCCTCAAGAGGGGTGCCCGGTCCTGTCCAGTACTGTCCTGCTGGCTTCTGAGCACAAGTCACGTCCCCAAACAAAGCCTGGTCCTTGCCTGCCTCACCTGGAGATTTCTCGGGCCTCTGAGCACCAGCTCTGGGACCATCTGGCACCTGGCAGCCACCCAAGGGTCAGAAGATGCCAGGCCCCAAGCCAGGTGGCCCCTGGTCGCCCAGGAGCTGAGTGGATGGGAGATGGGACGCATACCTGAGCACGCCCCTGGCACACACGACCTTATGCCCTGACACATCACAGCAGCACGGCCACCCTGCTCTTAGATGCAGAGGGACCAGGACTGAGACATACGACAAACAGTCCAAGTAGTAAAACAAAGCACAAATTAAGACAATGATGAGCTATCACTACCATACCTGCTAAAATAAAAACCAGGGACACCACCACATGCTGGTGAAGAAGCTGGGTCTCCCGGGCCTGGCTGGCGGAGCTGTGACGTGGTGCAGCCCCGCTGCGAAGCCTGCAGGGGGTGCGTGACCCGGCCTCACGCTGCTGGGCATTTACCCCGGAGAAGAGGAAGCGTTCGCGCAAATACGCGCTCATGAAAGCTTGTAGCAGCTTCATTCTGTTCCAGCAGGAAACTAGAGACAACCCGCGCGAGTCGCATCCTGCCTGGCACCGGAACCACAGGATGGGCTGCCGACACTGTGGGCCTCGAGGGTGTTGTGCTGCGTGGAAACGCCGGTGTCAACGAGACATACTGTGGATCCATTTCTACAACATTCGCACACGACGGGACTCTAGGGATGGAGAAGAGATTAGTGCTGCCAGGTGACGGGGACGGGGGCAGGGACAGTGTGTGTGGGGGAAGCAGGGGTGAGGAAGCCTTGGGGTGACAGGTCAGTTCTATATCTTGACTGTGGCAGCGACACAAGTCTATGCATGAGATAACATTGCATATAGCTGCACCCACCCTCCCACATGCACACACACATGCACACACAATATACATGTGCGCATGCACACGGGCACATACACTCAGGCACACATGTGCGCACACACGTGCAGGCACATGCAGGTTCACACACAAAACACGCACATGACACACACACATACATGTGTGCACATACATGCTCTCACACACATACACGTGCACAAACANCACGCACACACGTGCAGGCACATGCAGGTTCACACACAAAACGCACATGACACACATGCATACATGTGTGCACATACATGCTCTCACACACATACACGTGCACAAACACATGCCTGTACAGAGCGGTGGAAACAGCACAGTGTGCAGTCGGGCTCCCATCTGCCACCTCAGCTGTCACCTGGGGGAGGCTGTGTGAAGGGCACACGGCACTATCTGCACTATTTACGCCGCTTCCCGTGAGTCTGTAATTAATTCAATAGAAAGTGTGTCTAAAGCTCATCTTTGATGATACTGAAAGGTGGAGAGTCCTCCTTTTTTTGTTTGATTTTTTTTTTCCCTTTTTCCAAGTATATACACATAGTTGTTCCAGGTTTTTGTGTGTTTTTTTTTTTTTATTAAGCTAACTAATGACCGGGGAATAAATTTAGATCANGTCCTCCTTTTTTTGTTTGATTTTTTTTTTCCCTTTTTCCAAGTATATACGCATAGTTGTTCCAGGTTTTTGTGTGTGTTTTTTTTTTTTATTAAGCTAACTAATGACCGGGGAATAAATTTAGATCAGAGCCGCATTGGAAATATGAGCTTCCTTGGGGAGAGGCGCTGGCACGCACCCAGGCAACAGGAGTAAAAGCTTCTGGAGATATTTCATCACACACTCACTTTTCAGCTCCCGTGTCCTCACGTGAGTGCGATTTCATGTATCAAAGGCACTAGAATAACTTTCTGAATTATGTCCCAGCAACATAACAAATCACATTATCAATTAACTTCTACAATAGAAGTGGCTTTCTGTAATAGATCCAAGCGTGAAAAAATTACATGGGTGAAATTTATGTAACCCTAAAAACTGTAAGGAGAAGAAAGATCACTTTGAATTTATTGGTAATAATAGGGGAGGGGATTAATTCGCACGGTGGACAGCCCTCTGAGAGGGTGACCGGCCTGCAAGCTCTGGACGTGTCCCACAAAGGACACAGGCTGGCGATGGGGCCGGGCTGTGGGATGACCACACTGCCACTCCAGGTGACCCCCGTGAGTGGATCGGGGGTGGGAGCCCAGGCTCTGGTCCAAGCTGAGCTCTGGACGGGCTCCGTGACCTTGAGCTGGTTACTCAGGAGCTGCACCCTCTGTGTCCCCGGACTTCCCACAGCTGGGGCCCGACCCCCCCCAGCTCCTAGACCCACAGGCCAGGTTGGCGAGGAGCCCTGTGCACTCGGCCCAGCCCCTCTTCGTCCGGGCCCCTCGCTCCCGTGAGTGTCCTGCTCATCAATCACCTTTTTAAAAGTTCAACTTACTTTCTTAATTGTCTTGAAAATCGTGATTTGCATATTTTAAAAGGAGTGTTTTTATTGTAGGAAATTTGGAAAATAAAATCCTCTTAGCTGACCGCAAAGGTCAACGTTTGATGGATATCTTTTCTCCGCCCACTTTCTGCCTCACAAGCTCCTATGGTGTCTTGGCAAGTCCCCGGCGGTTTCACTTAACTGCTAAAGGACTTCCCGTTTCAAGATTTCAAAGTCAGAATCCTCTACCCTCCCGCAGGCCACCTGCAAACACCAGGGACCCCTGTGCATGGAGGGGGCCTGTTCCAATAGGGAAGTGAGGGCCTGAGGATGAGTGGGCTGGGGCCCTGGGCACGCCAGGTGTCTTGACACTGGGCCCAGGTAATGTGGGCTCTGTGGCCACACTTCACATTTGTTCCACATTTAATCCCCATGGAATAGCGGCAGGTAGGAACTAACCGAGGTCCATTCTCCCCATGTGACCACCACAAGCCCTGCCCTTTGCCAGCCCCTGGCAGCCTCCACTCGTCCTGGCACCATGTTCTCACCTCCTGGCACAGGTCCTCGGGGCTCCTGGGTCCCTCCCTGGGACTCCCAGGGAAGTCCCTGCTCACCTGGGAGGCCACACGCCCCTCCCCGGTCCACTTGGGGCCTGGGCACCTGGGCCTCCCTCCTCTCCCGACTTAATTCACAGTCACAGCTAAAACAGGCTTCCCGATTGATCTGGATTAAGAAATTAGGTGGGTTAATAAACTAAAATGCTCACAGATCCTCGTATATAAATTTCTATTAAGTTCCCTCATCCAACACTGGTCTCTAATAGTTTAATTTCTGTATTAAATAATTAAAACTCTATTTTCAATTGCAGTGAACAATTGTTTTCCTTAATGATCTCTCTAGAGGAGCCAGTAATTTTATATCTTGTAAAAATGATTAACTGGCATCATTAGCCCGTATCCCTGAAATATAACCCAGCAACTCCACGAGCGGCCATCTGTATTCAATTAATGCTCCTTGCGTTAGGCCAGGATCGCTCGCGCCACGGCTGTCCTCTTGTTTTATGATGACGATGATGAAGATAGAAACAACCAGTTTAATTATCCCATTTCCAACAGTGAAATCAATTTGCAACACGCCTGCACCCGTAAGAAAAGATGAAGGCGTCGCGGTCCCTGGGAAGGGCGGTGGCCCA